GGCTTTCCTTCCCAGGACATTTGCATATGCTGTTCTTTGGCCTGGGATGTTTTTCCCTCCTCCTTTTATCTATGAATAGTTAACACCTGCTCTTCCTCAGACTGCAATATAATAGACACTTCCTCAGAGAAACTTTCCCTAAATCCCTAGTTATAATCTCTTATAACATTATATACCACATTTGCAATTTAAAAAAATTTATTTGTGTGATTATTTCTCCCACTATAAGTTCCACAAAGGTAAAGACTGTGCTTGTTTTTGCTCATCATTGTATCCTCAATGCCTAGCTTAGTGACTGTCACATATATTTAATAAATATTTGTTGAATGAATTAACAGATTCAAGGCCTTTTAACTATTCCCTACTTCATTAGCTGCCTTAGTCTGTTTTGTGTTGCTAAAATAGAATACCTGAGAATGGGTAATTAATAAGAAAAGAAATTTATTTGGCTCACAGTTCTGGAGACTGAGAAGTCCAAGATCAAGGGGCTGCAACAGCTAAAAGCCTTCTTGCTGCAACATAACATGGCAAAAGCCATCACATGATGAGAGTGTGTGAGATAGCAAAAAAAAGGCCAAACTCACTTTTATAACAAACCCACTCTCAAGATAATGAACCCACTCCCTCAATAACTATATGAATCCATTCACGAGGGCAGAGCCCTCATGACCTAATCACCTCTTAAAGATCCCAGCTCTCAAGACTGTTGCATTGGGGATTAAGTTTCCAAAAGATGAACATTAGGGGACATGTTCAAACAATAGCACCAGTGAGCCATATTTTCCAATTATACAACAGAAACCTACAATTTGAGTTATAAAGGATAACTCTTCTCTTTACATCTTTTCACCCTTATCCAGACCTAAGATTCTCTCTACTCCTTCACCTACATAATTACCCCTCTAGCTACAAGGTAGATCCTAAATCACTATTTCACAAAGCTTTTACAGCCCAAAACAGTCTCCTGTGAACATCTATATCATTTTATATTTCTATGCCATTTATTTGGCACTTCCTCAAATGTTATCATACCATGTTATCATTATATAATATTTCATTATTATATTTTGTTTTATTTACTTTATTTTTCTCAATATAAACATTTTTAGGTACACAGTTTATATGCTCTTAAAGGGTAGTTATAGTTTAATTGCTACTAGAGTACCCATGCATATCATATGTTCTCTGAAAATGTATGCTGAAAGAATTAATGAAGAACTTTATGTAGCCTGCAATGAGGACTCAGCCTACAGTTTATTGCCAAATTTGGCAATTGATAGTTCTTGGTGGACACCTTAATATTTTATACCATTTTTCTAAGGAATACCTCCAAGACACTTTTCGTAGACAGTTTAAAACAAGTGTGATGGAGGAACATTAAAGTGATATACTATAATATTTTTAATTTCCTGACATATTTAGAGCAATTCATACTCAGATATCTCTAAATCCATTATAGAATTATTAAAATATCCCATAACTCTTTTGGATAACTCTATCTTGTCAATCCTTGTTCTTGTCCTCTGAAGCTGGGATAATCTTTAATATTTTCAGTAGCTTAATTTCTATTTCAAAATATCTCTAAAGAAAAAAATTCTTTTTGGCTATAGTCATGTTGCTTATTCCCTTGGCTGAATATCATTTATCATAAATTTTTAACCCTATATAAATGGAGTGCTTTTCAACTTTTTTCTTTTTATGCTCAGACAAAACTCTAAGTAATTAAGACTTTTTCCCTTCAAAATTAGAGAAAAAATTATAATTGCAACTATTCTAAGTCTTTTTTTTTTTTTTTTTTGAGACAGAGTCTTGCTTTGTTGTCCAGGCTAGAGTGAGTGCCGTGGCGTCAGTCTAGCTCACAGCAACCTCAAACTCCTGGGCTCAAGCGATCCTACTGCCTCAGCCTCCCAAGTAGCTGGGACTACAGGCATGTGCCACCATGCCCGGCTAATTTTATATATATATCAGTTGGCCAATTAATTTCTTTCTATTTATAGTAGAGACGGGGTCTTGCTCTTGCTCAGGCTGGTTTTGAACTCCTGACCTTGAGCAATCCGCCTGCCTCGGCCTCCCAGAGAGCTAGGATTACAGGCGTGAGCCACCCCGCCTGGCCTCTAAGTCTTATTGTAAAGTGTAAGAGACATACAAAACAAAGGTGACAGACGATATTGATATTCAAACTGTATGTGTCACCGATTTCAAATATAAGGATTATTTTATGGTTATTATCAATCATGATTTTTACCCACAGTAATGAAAAAACCAAAGTTGATAATAAAGAATTATCAGTTATCTGTTTATATGTTTCTCTTTAAAAGTCCTTATGAATATTTTATATGGAGCTAATTACTCTTTTAACAGCTTTAGTGAGATGTAATTTACATAACATAAAATTTACCCATTTTAAATGTACTATTCAATGGATTTTTTTAGTATATTTACAGAGCTGTGCCACCATCACCATAATCTAATTTTGTTTTATCATACTTTTAATTGTAATATAACTCACAAATTTGTGTAACCACCACTATCTAATTATAGAACATTTTCGCCACCCTAAAAAGGAAGCTCATACTCATTAGCAGTTATTTCCTATTTCTCCCTAACCTCTCCAGCACTATGCATTCTACTTTCTATCTCTATGGATTTGCCCATTCTGGACCATTCAAATAGATGGAATCAAACAATATGTGACCTTTGTATTTGTGACTGGCTCCTTTCACTTAGCATACTGTTTTTAAGGTTCTTCCATATTATAGCATGTATCAGAACTTCACTCTTTGTTATCAGCTAATACTATTCTGCTGTGCGGATACACCACATGTGGTTTATCCATTCATTGGTTGGTCAATATTTGGGTTGTTTCCACTTTTCTTTTCATTTCTTTTTTTAAGAGACAGAGTCTCACTCTGTTGTCCAGGCCAGAGTGCAGTGGATGATCATAGCTCACTGTAACCTCAAACTCCTCCAGGACTTGAGCAAGCCACCCACATCAGCTTCCCCAGTAGCTAGGACTACAGGTGTGTACTGCCATGCCCAGGCTAATATTTTCATTTTTTTTGTAGAGATGCGGTCTTGGTATGTTGCCCAGGCTGGTCTTGAACTTCTGGCCTTAAGCAATCCTCCTGCCTCGGACTCCCAAAACACTGAGATTACAGGTGTGAGCCACCGTACCCAGCCTGTTTCTACTTTTTGGCTATTAAGAATAATGCTGCTATGAACATTCACAAACAAGACTTTGTGTAGATAAATGTTTCATTTCTTTGGGAGATACCTGGAAGTAGAATTACTGGGTCAGGTGCTATTCATTCTTAAAATGAATAACAGAATATTTTTTTCTACTTCAAAGGGTTTTGGTACAGCCAGGAAACTGATTTTTCATAAAAATGCAAATATAAAATCCATTTTTTGGTATAATAAGGTCAATCTGCACAAGGCTTCGCTATCAACAAAATTAGGTCATATTTTCTAATTTAGGTTCAAATAGAAATTCTAGGATGAGATAAGAACTCCTTTTAGTAGTATAAATCATAAAGCTTAATGGACTTTGCACTTAACCTATTTAATCAATATGCTAGGGTAAAATTCTGTTTTTAAGCAGGAATCATATATCTAACTCCTATGGCTGACAATTGCTTAAGGGAAATACACAGTAAGGGAAGACTTACATAGTACAAGGGGCAAGAAGTGAGAATTTAAAATATGAGACACCTTGATTACACTAAACACTGATTTTCCTTGAGGGGGGCGTTTCTCATTTCATGAGAAAAATGTTAAGTATTAATTCCTCGAAGTCTTTCATAAAAGCAAATTTCAGAAATTGGCGGCCACATAAATAAACTTCTGGTCACATGATATTTTGTTTGTTTTTTCTGGCAATGTACACTCGTCTAAATACATTTAGAGAGCAAACTTGAACGGAAAATTAAAAGCTGATTGTAAAATTCTACATTTAAAAAAAGAGCTTAAAAAACACATTTTCATTTAAAGAAAAATCAAACATCTTTCCCCCAAAATCAGACATAATGAAGGGAAAAATACCAGACGTCCTACCAATCCCAGCACTAGAGAATGCCACAGGTCGTCCAAAACACGCGTTTGTTTTAGCCAACAGCCGCCTCCCACCAGAGCTATCCCTAGAGGGTCAGATGATAATCCAACGAGTGATTTATTTCTCTTTTTTCATTCCCCTAACCCGCAATCCACCTGCTTGGAGGTGTCAAGGCGACCAGAAATGGTTAACTGTGACCAACAGCAGAGAGAGAAACAAACATCCCTGACAACCCACAGCTGAGTAAGCAAGAGCTGTTTATTCACGAACATGTTCCATTTGGAGACTGTCGGCGAGCCCTTGATAGCCCAGGCACATTTTAGAAGGTTCCTAGAGAAAGAATCATCTTTTCTCCCGCCACCCCCAAACACACACTAAGAGACTCGGTGGCAACCGTCTGGTCAAGGAAGCCCCTACCCACGCGCCACCTCAAGCATAGCCTCACGCACTAAAAGCATCTGACCACTTGCGGGGGTTGTGTAATGCCCCCGAAATGGGCTCTGACGCGGGAGAGGCTGGCCCCAGCGCCAGGGGCTTCCGAAGGAGTTTCTGCCACCCCCACCGCCGCTACGAACCGCGCCGAGGCGACGCGACGCCACATCCAGGGCTGGGAACCTTGACGAAAAATGGCCCTTCAGCCCCCTCCCCTCACCTGGCTCGGTTCTACCTGAGGGCAAGAACTGAGGAGAAAAGAAACAGGCAAGGAGGGCTGACCTTGTTGCTACTGACAGTAGAGCGGCACATCCTGCTGCTTCCTGGAAAGCGGCCCGAAGGACATTTTTCCCCCTGGAGGAAGGAAAAGGGAGGGCGCCGGCCGGGCGGCAGCGGGCTCGGCGGCGGTGGTCGGGGCGGGCTGTGCAGCCTCTAGTGGGGATGGTCCGAGGACTACATCTCCCAGGCTGCTCTGGGCCGTCCTGCGTCGTGACCCCGGCGCGCACGGAGGCGGCGACTCTTACCTCACAGAGGTAGCTCCTCCGCCGGCAGCAACTCGGAGCCCGCGGTCCATGGACCGGAACCTCGGGCCGACGGGCAGGAACCCCGGCCGCGATCGCCGCCTCCCCGCCCAAGGCTCCTCCTCCTCGCTCCCCACCGCCTCCTCCGGACGCCCGAAGGCCCCGCACCCCAGCCGCCGGGCTCGCGGAGCTACCCCGGGAAGCTGGGTGGCGGGTTCGCGGCTACCGCCGGACTGAGGCCTACTCCGCCGCCTATCAGTGCTATTGTCCCTGGCCTGGTCCTAACTGGGTCTACTGGGGAGGGCCAAGTGTGCCGGCTTCAAAGAAGATGCCGGACCAAGCCCTACAGCAGATGCTGGACAGGTACGGGCAGCTTTGGGGGAGAACGGGAGCCGCCGACCCTCGCTCTGGCCCTACCCCTGCCCCTGCCCGCGCCAGCCCTCGAGGCTCTTCGTGAGCAGAGCCCGGCGTGCCGGGAGGAGTTCCACGGCCAGGGGGCCGTGAGAGGGGCAGAAAGTTTGGAGTCTATTTGGGGGAGGACAGATCAAGCGGCCTGGGTCGTAAACTTAGAACACAACTTAGTTAAGTAGCTGTGTCTTGTTTTGCTTGAACACCGTTTTGAAGTAAGAGGGGCTTGTGTTAACCTATAGAATTAGTTTCTTTTTCTTACTCTTCCCCCCCCCAACTATGTTGTAAAGTGTGTGTCATCAATGTCACTGGCAAAAATAACCACATTATCTTTCAGGGGAATTACAATTTTACATCTCTTTACGAGAAACAAGGATAAACATTCTTTTGGAAAACCTGATTGGCTGATTTCATTCTTGTGCCCTCCCCTACCCTATTCCCTCCCCACCCCGAAATTGTAAGGTCAGAGTATCCGCAGGGGAGCTTTAACGGTCAGACCAGAGTAGAGGTTATGGAAAACAGCCACACAAGTCCAAAACTGAATATCCAGCATACTTTATGATCGTTGAGTTCATTGAAAAGTTTCAGCTTATATTGGGGTCAGTTGCCCATTCTTGGGGGGCTCCAGTCGTTAAAACTTTTTGTGTAGTCAGCTGCACCGCCCTCTGCTGTTCAAATTATAGTCCATGGGTTCTACCATGATTTTGGAGACTCTGAAACCACTTTTCCCCTACCCAGGTCTTAACTTCCTGACATATCCAGTTGTACAAGCTAATTCATAATGTTTGTGGTTGCTTACAACTTTCAACAGACATCACCTGCCACCCTGTTCAGCAGGTGGTACAGCTCTTTGTCCTAATACAGGTCCAACTGTAAGGTGTTAAATGAAGGACCTTCTTTAATTAGGATTATACCCAGTTAAAAGGTTGGGTCTGCATTTTGGATCTGTGTTCTGGGTCTGCCATTCCCAGAACACAAATAACCTAGGTATACACCTCCTCCCAGATTGGCAGGCATTTCCTTTGGAGCTTAGAATTTTGAGACATCTAAATTGATAGAAATATGTCACTGACTTTTTTCAATGACTGGTGATTAATCTGGCCCTTGTTTCAGGTCAGTGTCCTGACACTTGTATTGACTAACCCTTTTGTAATATATTTAGTTTTCTAACTCCTTTAGGGCAGAAACTAATTGTTTACCTTGAATCCTAGAACAGAGCTTGGTACTCAGGAGGCAATCAGTAAATATTTGTCGTGTGAACTAATGCACAAACTTGCTTGTCAGTTTCCCCAGTTGTCTAGGGGTCTGATAATTTACCAGGTTTTCCTTTCACTATAATTTAGCATACTGGCAAATGTAGCATACGGAAATATGCCCAGAAGAGACCAGGAGCTCCTGCCACTGCCAATTCCAATAAGATGAAACCTTGTTCTGGTGCGGGGTATTTTGTACTTAATTGTTCCTTCCCCTTAAGGCCTCCTGCTTTCACTTTTATTCAGTGACTTATAAAAGTTTTTATGTCTAAAGGTTGACCTGGCTTTTCATATTCTCTTTGAAGATTTCCATAACAGTAAGAAGCTGAGTAGTACTAGTGAGTTGTTTAAAACTTCTCAACAGAAACTTGGAGATTCTGGCTGCCATTTACTGAAGCAAGTGACTGTAACACTGGCAGTACTCTCATCTTTGTACTTTTTGGACATACCTCAAGGTAGATTCTTAACATGACTTTCAAAGACCTTTATTGTCTAGGTCAGTAGTTTGCAACCTGGCTCCAAGTTAGAATCACCTGGGGAGCATATTAAAATATGGATGGATGCTTGGACCCAGCTGAAGGCCAATTAGATAGCAAATTTCTGGAGGGTAGAACCTGGGCATCTAGGTTTTCAAAATCCTTCTAGATGTTTCTGATATGGCTGAAAACCACTGCCCTAAACCCTAGGGGTTTATTTCATAATAAGAGGAAGTATCATTTAGTGAGAAAAGCTTGGGCTTCAGAGATAGAAATCTTGGAAATTTTAATTTTGCCACTTACTGGCTATGTGACTTTGGATTCTGAGGCTATATTGCTTCTTTATAAAATGGAAATATCTGGCCGGGTGTGGTTGCTCACACCTGTAATCCTAGCATTCAGGGAGGCCAAGGTGGGTGAATCGCTCAATGTCAGGAGTTCGAAACCAGCCTGAGCAAGAGCAAGACCCCATCTCTACTATAAATAGAAACAAATTAATTGGCCAGCTACTATATATAGAAAAAATTAGCCGGGCATGGTAGCACATGCCTGTAGTCCCAACTAATAGGGAGGCTGAGGCAGAAAGACTGCTTGAGCCTAGGAGTTTGAGATTGCTGTGAGCTAGGCTGACGCCATGGCACTCTAGCCAAGGCAACAGAGTGAGACTCTGTCTCAAATAAATAAATAAAATAAAATGGAAATATCGTACTTCACATGCATCTTTATAAAACACTATATGTTAGGCAGCTAGAGGGTACTAGTGTAACCAGAGTGGCAGTTGTCCCCCCATCTCCTTCATACTTACTATCATAATTTGAACTGGCCTTACATGCAAGTTGAACACTAAGATACTCAACATGGTTCGTTTGGGAAATACAGGCCCAACAAGACTAAAATATGTTAACCTATTGACATAGACCCTATTGACATAGACCCATAGACCCAGCCATTGACCCAGAATTCTTTTCATGAATTTGGCTTCTGTCCAGCTTGGTCTTTGGTGGCAATTTTTGAGGGACAGAATTTAGCTCACATAACAGCCCATGTGTTTATTTTTTCAGTTTGAGTTTCATCCATGTGAAGACTAAGGAAATGTATATAACATACTCTGTTGCTTTTAGGTTAAAAGTTATGTATTTTATAGTGAATCAGTTATTAAACATTTGCATTTTTTAATTTATTTAACAAATTCCAAGTGCCTATATATGACCAGTACCATTCAGGGCCCTTAGTATATTGTAGTGAACATAATGAAAATGCCTTCATGGAGCTTAAATTCCAGTGATGTGTTCCATAAACTGTTTAACTATTTTAATTGTAACATGAATGGTATGCTCAATTTATACCACTTAATCTTTCAAGATTTTTAACCATTGACAACTTACTAACAGCTAAAGTTGAGTTACCTTATCCTTTGCAAATAAGGATTTTATTTGCAAATACCTTACCTTTTCTTCCTTCAATCCTTGAGTATGGTCCACTTCTCAGCATTTATTATCTGAAAAAGTGTACTCATTTACTATCTCATTTTCACCTCTATTTGAGCAACTCCCAGATCTGTGTGGGTTTTTTTTGTTGTTGCTGTTGTTTTTTTGTGTTTTTTTTTTGAGATAGAGTCTCACTTTGTTGCCCAGGCTAAAGTGAGTGCTGTGGTGTCAGCCTAGCTATAGTTTCTTACTATAGCTATAATTTCAGCCTGGCTATAATTTCTTACTAAATGGGAAATATAAATTTCTCTCAGAGTATAGTATACATATGGCGGCATGGTACAGTGAAAACTGATATTTTGGACTCAAGGCCTATGTTGAACCATCCATGCATAATACTTAACAGAGTGTAAATACTATAAATAGTTGTCATTCTATATTGTTTGGGAAATAATTACAAGAAAAAGTCCATACATGTTCAAGCAATCCTCCTGCCTAAGCCTTCCGAGTAGCTGGGACTACAGGCATGCACCACCATGCCCTGCTAATTTTTTCTATATACTTTTAGTTGGCCAATTAATTTCTTTCTATTTATAGTAGAGACAGGGTCTTGCTCTTGCTCAGCTTGGTTTTGAACTCTTGAGCTCAAACGATCCACCCGCCTCAGCCTCCCAGAGAGCTAGGATTACAGGCGTGAGCCACCGTGCCCGGCCTAGATCTGTGTGTTTATTTCTGACCGCTTTCCCTCATTTCCTTCAGCAGCTTATTTCTTGCTGCCCAGTGGACATTTCCATTTGTATATATACAATATTACCAACTTAAACTAAGCTACTGCTACTTCTCTGACTTTTACTTATCTTGACCTCTCAATATTTGGTCTTTGATATGACCGTTCTTCTAGCCATCACCTGTAAAACCTAAGTCGTCTTTGTTGTTGTTTTTGTTTCTTTGCTTTCTTCTTTTCTTCCAAATCTACTTGTTCATCAAATATTGTAGATTCTTTTTTCTCTTTTTGGCTCCAGTTTTTCTCCTAGTCCATGTTGGCCCACAGAGTGGCACGGAAACTGGCCAAGGCACAATTATAATCATGCCATTCCCATATTTGGAAACCTGCCAGTCTCTATATCATCTATAGGGATAAAAATCTAAACTTTCAAGAGCTTAGTATGCTTTGATCTATTACTATAATCCACCCTCAACCTACCTAAACCATCCTCTCCTGCACTTCACTTCGTTGTCCCCTGAATACGTCCTGCTCTTTTGTTGAGAAAGACTCTCAACAAGGGATTATACAGTCCCTCCTAATGGCATGATTATACAATCCCTCCTAAGTAGCTGGGACTATAGCCACACGCCACGCTAAAAAAATTAGCCAGCAGGCTAATTTTTTCTATTTTTAGTAGAATAGAAAGCTCAGGCTGGTCTCCAACTCCTGACCTCAAGCAATGCTCCCACCTTGACCTCTGAGAATGTTAGGGTTACAGGCGTGAGCCATGGCACTGGCCCTGCTCTTTCATCTCCTTATTTTTGCTTTATATGCCTTGCTCCCTCTAGGTACCCGGCCAACCTTTATCCATCTGAATATTTGAATTCAGCTCAAATATCACATTAAAGCCTTGCATAGCTCTCCCATGCAGAGTTAGTGACTCCTTCCTATGTTTCCATAGAACCAGTATGAATTAATTATAGTATAATCACATCATACTATAAATTTTTAATGCACCTATCTCATGTCTCAGCTTTACACACACACATACCCTTACCACACTTATATTCAAGTGGAAGTTCAATGAGAATAG